ACAGTTATAGAGACCCTTTATTCTTGTATATTCTATTATTTAAGTTAATCAGTGTGACTTCCTCAATTTCTATGTTAACCTAGGAACTTATTTTTTACAAAGGAATATTTACTTCTGAAGGTATAATCACAATTATGCAAGCTTCCCCTAGTTTAGTTCCTATTCCAGATCCAAGTCCAACTCTCCCTTCCCCCAAAGACCTGAGTCCCAGGCACCCTGGCTTCTCAGAGTTAAGATGTCAGGAGGGCTGGCCACACTACCAAGCCTTCAATCCTGGCTCCCACATTACTATAGCTCAGACTCCTGGTCCCGTATGGATCACCTTCAACACCTAAAACTAAAGACAAACCACCCAGAACAGAAACAAACATCACCAGACCTGTATCTTGAGCTAGGGTGAAAAGAGAAAGAGCAAAGAAAAAGTATTCTTTTCCTTCCTTTCTCACTGGTTTGGTTCATGGCATCCATACTGGCTGCAGCAGATGAGCTACCAAAAAGAATACCCTAAAAGATGGGGGAAATAACGGTGAAAGGCTCCATCTCACCATTTTTAAAGATGCAAGCAGCCAGTCAAAGGTGGTTACCCACACTCACGTGGCAGGGGACAAAGAGGGCTTGATATTAGACAAAATGGGGATGCTCAGAAAAAGGCTCCTCAAGGATGCCCATCAATTGGGGAATGGCTGAACAAGTTGTGGTGTATGAATGTAATGCAATGCTATTGTGCTATACAAAATGATGAGCAGACAGACTTCAGAAAAACCTGGAAAGACTCATATGGACTGATGCTGAGTGAAATGAGCAGAACCAGGAGAATGTTGTACACAGTAATAACCATGTTGTGCGATGGCTAACTTTGATAGACTTAGCCCTTCTCAGCAATACAAGGATCTAAGACATCTCCAAAAGTCTCGTGATTAAAAATGCTATCCACATCCAGAGAAAGAACTATGGAGTTTGAATGCAGATTGAAGCAATACTATTTGCTCTTTTTTTTCTTCTGTTTTATTTCTTCTTTCTTGTGGTTCCTTCTATTGGTTCTAATTCTTCCTTACAACATGACTAATGTGAAAATATGTTTAATGGGAATGTATATGTATAGCCTATATCAGACTGCATACCATCTTAGGGAAGGAGGTGGGGAGGGAGGGGGAGAAAAATTCAAAACTCAAAAACTTGTGGAAATGATTGTTGATAAATCAAAATTAATTAATTAATTAGAAAATAAAATGTGAGGGTTGGATTATAGAAAAAAAAAAGGCCCCTCAAGGTCATCTCCATGTTAGAACTGGATATGTCCAGAGAAGCCCAGGTTACATATTTTTTTTTAATTAATTAATTAATTTTTAGTTTTCAACATTCACTTCCACAAGATTTTGAGTTCTAAATTTTCTCCCCCTCCTTTCCTTCCCCCCTCCCCAAGCTACCTGCAATCTGATATAACCTATATATATACATTCATATTAAACATTTTCACATTAGTCGTGTCATAAAGAAGAATTAGAACCAATGGGAGTACATCTTTTTTTTTTTACTGCTTGTTTTATATATGTTTGCTTGCAATTTTCTTGCAAAAAAGACTTGGTGGGAGGAGAGCTAAACTGGCCAAGATTAAGCTGTTACTATTTCCAATCTGGAGCAACTAGGGAAAGAGGCTTTTGTTTTGAAGGCCCTAAAAGCATCTTAACCCTGAATGCAAATGTCTGATGTGTGAAAGATAGATATAATTTTAGTCCAATGCCCCTCTTGAAGACAGGAGTGAGAAAGAGGTATTGTGTAGTCATGACCATCATCCTACTTTAAGTAAAGAAAATAAATCTCCCTTGGAGCTGTGGAATAGGTCATTTCAGATTGTATCTATCTAAAAAATTCCTGTTATAATCGTTTGCTTCTTTATTACCTAGTCCAACCTGTTACACTAGTAAATAATTCAAAGGGTACCCAAACACCAGTAAAGAATTGAAAGGGCACCAATGTATAAGATAAGATATGCACGTGTGGCAAAGGGGTATCTCCCGTCTTCTGACCCCAGAATTGCTTTACTTCCTTAAGGGAGTTCTCAGCTGAAGTTGTCCTAGCTGTACCTTTTTGAGGGGCTCTCAGGATCAGCGCCTCTTTAGAGTCCATAGCAAAATTTTTTTTTCTGCCATAAGGTGTCACAGTCTCTGAAGCTACTGCCATCATCAGGGGACTGTCTTCCATCTGTCTCTGCAAGGACTTCCTCTCTTGTCAGCTTCTACTACTCAAATGAAGTCTGTAACTGACTCAAGTAGTCAGTGAAAGCTTTGATGGATCTCCTAGTTGCCTGGACATTCCTTTCTCAGAGAGGAGGAAAGAGGGAGAGAGGAAAAAGTGAGAGAGGAAGAGAAAGTGCAGAGAGAGATATGCATAGATAAAAACAGAGAAGGGAAACATGGAGAAAGAGGGAGGGAGGAAGAGAGAGACAAGAAGAAGGAAGGGAGAGTAAAAGAGAAAAAGCCAAGACAGAGAGGGGGAGAGAGAGAGAGAGAGAAGAGAGGGAGGGGAGAGAGAGAAAGAGAGAGACAGAGAGAGACAGAGAGAGAGAGAGAGACAGAGAGAGACAGAGAGAGAGAGACAGAGAGAGACAGAGAGAGAGAGAGAGAGGAGAGGAGAGAGAGAGAGACAGAGAGACAGAGAGACAGAGACAGAGAAAGAGACAGAGAGATAGAGATAGAGAGAGACACAGAGAGAAGGGAAGAGGGTCCAGAGGATAGATTAAGCGACAGACATAGATGATGATCTAACACAGGAGACTGAAGAGTATGAGAGAGCACTGTTATGAAAACCCTAGAGGAGAGGGAATTCAGAAATGTCTCATTAGGTGAATGTGTTTTGCTCATGTATGAGAGAAGTCTGAATCAGAGGTATATGATAAACCTCATGGAAGGCTCCATTCCTTTCAGGAGACAGAGAAATTCCCTGCTGGAGCATCAAGAGTTTGTTGAAGGATCCAGAAGGACTTTAAGGCAAATGACTTGAGAGAAGATATTTGCCAGCTCATAGCTTTAGGGTAATTGTGCATTAATGGCTCTACTAAGCATTTCCTATTAATTTCATTTTAAGCTTTCTTCTGCATGGGATGAGGTTGTTGAGATCTGAGACCTGAGAGTTAAATGAGGTATGGGTAAAACAGAGAAATGGGGGACGCGGAAATTTCTGTCTCTCCTTTGGTTGGGAGAATGTACCCTTGTGGATCAGGCCCAATTTTTGCAACTATTTTCTTGTCTGTTGAACTTTGCCAACTTTGATTGCTATCTGAGAACATTTCAGGGTTCTCTTTCATGTCAGTGGACTCTTGAATTTCTTAAGGCCTCTAGTATTAGATGTTATCCTTACTCTAATCACAGACTGACTCTTCCTGGTAGAACTCCTAAGACTGGCCCCCAAATGAGTACTAACCTCTGATTTAGACCAATTCCAAAACTTAACCTGAGACTAAACCCCAGTCTTTTGCATAGTGCCTAATTCTGATGACAGATATAACAGTGAGTTCTAGGCATCAGATAGGTTTCTTAACTCTGCCCCAAAATGAGGACAAATCTTAACCTCAGACTGATTCCTAATTTTGGCCAAAGTGTGACCTTTTAACTCAAAATAATTCCTTAGTCCTGATCACAAACTGAGATGTAATCCTTCCGATATATTAAGCTTCTAAAGTGAGTCTCTAATTCTGGCCCTCAATTGACTCCCTAAATTGGCCACGGATTAATCTCCTGACCACAGGCCAATACTGACCACTTGTCTTTGGCCACAGACCAGTCTCCTAACCTTACGCCCAGACTTAGGCCCTTATTTGGCTCTCGAATTGAATTCTTAATCCCCACTATAGGCTCATTCTACTTAACCTATTAAGGCCACAAAATTACACTGAGCTTTAACCACAACCCCATAGTGACTAACCCTGGCCACAAACCTAGTTTGACCTCCACCCTCAAATTGACCCTTAACCCCAGTTACAGAACAACCTCTAATCTTGGCTACAAACTCAACACCCAACCCAGTTTATACACTAAGTATTCATTCCAGAAACCAGGCTGACACCTGACTGAGCTACTGACTGATTGCTAACCTTCACTCCAGGTACAAAGATGCTCAAATTTCATGGCTTTCCTTTCTGCCTTGTCCACCCTGTCTGATACCTCCTTCTACCCCTCACCCTGACTTTCCCTCTCACAAGCCATTATAATTTCCTCTTCCTACAAATACCCATATCCTTCATAATACTCCATCCTTCACATTCCATCATCATCTTGTGCTTGCGTTCTATAATCCTTCCCCCATCTTCCATAAACCTTTCAGCTTCTTCACTCAAAAGGCCCCCTTTTTGATCTGTCTTCTGGGGTCTTTCCCATACCTAGGCATGGCTGGGGAGCCAGCTGTCCTTAGAAGAGGGGAGAGAAGAGCTGAGACTTTTGGAAACAACCCCCTGGACAGCTATTTGCAAGTGAAAGGAGAGGAATGAGAAACCAGGTCACAAGTGTAGGTATGCAAAGCTTGGATCAGCAGAGGATGGATGATGGTGGCCTACCTGCCTTAGGGAACCATAGGGACATTCCTTCCTGCTTTAGACTTGAATGGGTTTCTTATTCCAGAGGGGTAGAGTGAGGGACAGAAACAGCCAGAGGCGGGACACTCAATTCCTAAACTGGGGTAAGACCTAGGAAGCTAGAGTTTGGGTTCTGGAAATTAAATTTTCATTTATCAGCTCTACTCTTTAAAGGGTGAACTCTTGGTTATGATTTCTGAGGCCTAACCCGAAGAGATGAATTGTTGGAAACATTATTATTACCATGGAAAAAAAAATCCTTTATTGAAACAGTCAATCCTTATTAGACAGATTGGTAAGCACATGGAACTACAGAGGAGTGGAGAGTCTCCCTGACTACATCCCCACTCACTTCCCACACTTAGAACTCTGCCTCCTTTGCCATGGGGCTGAAAATCTTCCAATATCCTTTAAAGATCTTTTCAGTGGAGCAAGCAAGGTCTTTGCTCAAGGGCCCAGCCCTGGGCATCCTGGGATCTCCACTCCAGCTCTTCAGTGGTATCCTGGACATACTTGGACATAATCTTCAGCAGGATTTATGAGGAGTGGTCTTAGGGAGGATTAGTGCAGCAGGAGAGGGTGAAGGAGGAGAAGGAGGAGGAAGAGGAGGAGGGAGAGGACATCAGTTGGAAGCTGAGTGGAATTTTTGGACTGAATTACTTGTTGGATCCAGCTGGTGTAGATACTGACATTGGTATAGACACCAGGAAGGTTGTTGCGGCCACAACCTATTCCCCAGCTCGCAATCCCTGCCTGGTACCAGATCTCGTTGACTTTACATACCAAAGGTCCCCCGGAATCACCCTGGAGAAATACAGATAGAGTCAGCCTTAGGGGGTGGAGCTCAGAGGTATAGGGTAATAGAGGACTCCTAAGTCCAAACAAGGGACTTGAAGGGGAAGCAAAGGATGACACTGTCCATGATGGGTCCTGGCTGGCTACTTTACCTGGCAGGTATCCTTCTTGCCATCTGAGAACCCAGCACATGTCATGTCATCAAATATCATAGGAAATTTAATATTAGGCTGTGCCTTGTGGAAGTAGTTGTTACAGGTCTTTTGGTCAATGAGGGGCACTTGCGCCTCCTATAAGGGCCATGGTTTCTTCAGTGCTGAGGATTTAGCAAAGAAAAAAGAAGGTTATATCTGGAGTGAGAGACAAAGAACAATAGCTGAACATAATAAGTATAAAGATGGCCTGCTCTCGGTCGGTGAGCTGAGAAACTGGATGGTCAAACCTTCCATGTGGATGTTCACTGGAGGCTAATGTAGCCTACATAATTCAAAACATTGGACAAACTAATCTTCGTTTAGATGGAGGGCTAGAATATGTATTTTTGTCCTTCCATCGAACTGAATGTTGCCTCTTCAGATTTACTGGGAGTTCACAGCACTTCCAAGAAAAGAGTGAAGATAGAGGATAAGACTCTCAGGTCTTCCACTTGGCCCTTCTAGCTTTCTATCAGGCCACTCCCCAGGAGGCATGAAGTCATTCTTCCAACCAGGAAGAATTTTCTTAGTTACCCTGCATGCCATTCATGTTCTCTCCTCTGAAATGATGTTCAGTGCTGTTGTTTCTCCTGCCTGAAATGTCTTTGTCTTTCATCTCCATTCACTGAAATTCTGTCTATCCTTACCCCAGCCCCCCTGGCCTAGGAGTCTGCCCTGGCTGTCTCAGCCCACAGTGATCTCTTCTTATAGCACTTCCTCAGGATTACACCCTGGGTAATTACCATGTGTTGTTTTCTATTGCTATTTGAAATTTTCATGTGCTTGGGTCTGGGTTCCCCCAGTGAGACTATGAGCTTCCTGAAGTCAGAGACTATCTCTTCCAAGTCTTTATGTCCTGTCCCCCTTGTTCCCCCCACTTCCACCCCATATGCATCAGGTGTCTTGCAAACTGTTGGAGATTTAACAAAATAAGTGGAATAACAGAACAACATATTCCACTGGTACTCAAAGGGTGCTGCAAAAGCATCCCATTCCCCTTTTTATCCAGTCATCCAGAGTCTCCAAATTCCCTGGGTTCTGGGAAAGGAAGGCATTACCTCTCAGATTCTTCATTGTGTGGTAACAACTTGAAGAGAACTGAACTTTTTCCTCTTGAGTTTGCTGACACAGCAGAACTTCTCTGGGCTGGGCTAATTAATGAAGTATTTTGACTATGAAAACCTGTTCTTCCATTTATTGATGGAGTATGTGACACTGGGAAGAAGACTGGGAGTAGGGTAAGAAGGCCTGGATTCTAGCTTCAGCTATTGACACTTGCTAGCTTTGGAAGCCTGAGGTATTGTTTAGTTGTTTTCACTCATGTCTGACCTTGTTTCCTTTTTTCTTTCTTTTTTTTTTTTTAAAGTGAGGCAATTGGGGTTGAGTGACTTACCCAGAGTTGCACAGCTATGTGTTTGAGAATGAATTTGAACTCAGGTCCTCATGACACCAGGGCCAGTGCTCTATCCACTGCACCACTTAGCTGCCCTTTTTGGAGTTTTCTTGACAAAGATACTAGGGTGGTTTGTCATTTCTTTCTCCAGTTCACTTTACAGATGAAGAAACTGAGGGAGACAGGGTTAAATGACTTTCCCAGGATCACAGAGCTAGTAAGTGTCTGAGACTGGATTTGAACTCAGGTCTTCCTGATGCCAGGTCCAGGGCTCTACCCACTTCACCACCTGGGTACAAGCTATTTAATGACTCAGCCTCAGATTGCTCATCTGTAAGATGAGGAGGATCATACCTGTCTCACCTACTTACTGCAGCTTCTAAAGAAATGACCCATGAAGACTGTAACATGCTGTACAAATGGGAGGCATTATTACTATTAGGAAAGAGAGGAAATGGAATTAACCAAGCATATCAAAAAAGGTCCAAAGAAAACAAAGCACAAAATTGTGTCAATAGGAAATTAAAACCAGTATTTCCTTTGTAGTGGGTACAAAGTGGATGATCTGACTTGGGAGCGAAATGAGCTGGCTCTGTTGTAGATGGGGGATAGGTGCAGGGGTCACCAAGTACAATCATTTTTGCCACTGTCCTCACTTGTACCTTCCTGTGTTTCTCCCCAGCCTGTGACCCAGCACATGGTCACATTCTCAAAGAAGGTCCTGGAGGGTGGGATGCAGATGGGCTGGATGGTCTCCTTGAAACGAACTGGTGATCTCAGCTTTGCCAATGCAATGTCCTTGGGTGGCGTACCGTAAAAGTGGGGATGAACGATGAATTTTTCCACAGAATAATGTATGGGACTAAATAAGGGGAATAGCATTGGTAGGAGAGTAGTTGAGCCTAGAAAAATCTTCCAATGTCTGATCTTTCTTTTACTAAAAGGGCAAAAGGAAGAGAGTAGATATGATGATGATTCCAGGGCCACTGTGTCTCAGGTACATAAACTCACAAGATTAAGACCTGGAAGGGATATTGGAGATAATTTAGTTTATGTCTGTGATTTTACAGATGAGAGAAGTGAAGGCCAGAGAGGGTAAGTGATTTGTCTGAGGTATCATAAGGATCCTGCAGTCTTGGAGAGAGCTCTCAGCATAGTAGGGATTGCCAAGGCTATGAGTTTTGGGTAAACCCTGGGCTAGGGGAAGCTGTTTCAGATAAGAAAGGCTGGCCTTATAGAGCTGGTAACCCTGCACCTGTTAGTATTTGAGTGGTCCTAATTAAGTTCCTATCCAAAATTTCTTACCTACATTGCTGTTATAGTGCCTGAAATTACACTTTGTACAATGGAAAGCATGCTGAATGTGGAATTCAAATCCATTTCTGACATTTGCTAGCTATGTGACCTTGGGCAAGTCATTGAAATTTTCTGGCCCTCAGATTCCTCATCAGTAAAATGAAGGGCTTGGCTTAGGTGACCTCTAAGGTCCCTTTCAGCTCAAAATCTGTCATTTGTGATCCTGTGATCCATTTCTTTGGGCTTCAAAGGGTTTGGCTTTCTGGATCCATTCAATAAGCATTGGTTAAGTGCCTACTAGATGCAAGGCACTACTTCCAATGGATACAGAAATATTCCTTTGTAAGGGTTGGGGGGAGTACAGAAGGATTGAGGGAGGTTCAATGACCACAACTTTGTCAGGTAACTGTTTTGTGGGGATTCATTGAGAGCTTACTGAAAGCAGGGGATTATAGGAATTTGGAATGGGAGGGTGTGGGATGTGACAAGGGGTGAAGAAACTGGGGACTTTTCTTTTTCCATTTTTAAGGATCCTTTAGTACTTAGTTGTCTGTGTTTTCAAATCTCCTGAGTCCCTCAGTTCCCTGCTAAATATGAAGTACAGACTGTGGGATTAAGGGGACAGGGAAGGGCATCAGGTGTAGGGATGGAACAGCAAATGGTCTAATGTAGACCCTCTCCACCCCATGCCAGGGAACGGGGTTCCTGGCCCTCTCTGTAGCTTGCTTGTTCTACCCCTCCTCCCTCACCTGCCCCTCCCCATCAACTCCTAGGTCTTTTCTGAGGACAGAGCTGCCCCTGCCCTTTGGGCACCCTCTAGACCCTGCTCAGAAGGAAGACTCACTTTTGGAGGCAATGAGCAGCTGTCATCACCCAATCTGAGTGGATAAGGCTGCCCCCACAAATGTGGCGGTTCTTATACATTATGCTGGCCTGCCAAGGCCATCTGGTTGTGGAGGTCTTCTGGCCCCCTGTGATTCATCCTGAGTCCTCTGGGTGTCCAGAGACTTGTAAGAGCGTTAAGGGAGATTGAAAAGATTCAGACATCCCATCCAACTCCCCCTCCTAACCCTGTCCTCCCCTCTCTCCTATTTAGCAGCCATCTTCCAGCCCTCCCTTCCACCCTGGACCCCCCATTTGGCCCACTCAGTTTTTGTCCTGGCCTCTTCCTTCCCAGAGGTACACACCCTTCTCAATCATCTTGGGGTCTGGGTCCAGGGCTCCCACCTTATCTTTCTTTAATTTCACTTCCTGGAGCCCTGGGGGAAGAAGGCAGGCATGGTGAGGTGGGGGCCTTCTAGGACCACCCCTTGGTGCCCAGCCCCTCCTGATCCCTCTGGGGCCCGACTCCCTGCCCCACCTAGGTAGGCCTGGGCCCCCAGCAGCAGGGGCAGCAGGAGTGTGGGGCTGACCCAGCTCATGGTTGAGTCCCCAGGAGGGCTCCTTGGCCTCTCTCTCTGGCTGGTGGCACTCTGCTGAGCAGGGACTCTCCCTGGGCTGGCACCCCCTAGGGGAAGCCCCTTTCTCCTAGAAGAGGCTTCTTATATGGCGAGATCTCCAAGACCCAGAGAGAGCTTCAATAGCCCCAGAGGGTCAGCCTGGCTGCCAGTGCCTGGGTCAGGCTTGGGCCTGCTGGAGGAGGCACAATTAAGGAGAGGAGGCCCAGGGGCTAACATCATGCCCCTCCCTCTCTCCCACTCCACAGGTCATTCTGTTTCTCTGTCCCAGTATGGCTCTCCCCTAGTGACTTCAGTGGGAAACCCCAGGCTCCACAGCCCAAGTCAGCTCTGTCCCCCCTTAGGCCACTGTCCCCACAGGGTCATAGTGACAAGTTGAAGTGATGCCTGTCTAGAGTACTGGGGAGATCACTGATGTTGTAACATCTTGAAAGATAGAGCAGGAGGTGTCCTGCTCCTGGAGTGGGGGAAAAATGTTTTCTCAGTCCCAGGGCTGTCAGCAGGTCTTCAGGCTTGCCCACCCTGAAAATGAGTACCGATTCCATACGTCTGTGTAACTCATCTGAAAGCAGGAACCTGATAAAAGCAAGTGAAGGGGGAAGGGGAAGAGAATAAACATTTACAGAGTACCTACCATGTGTCAGGCACTACACTCAGGGCTTTTACAAATGGTAGCTTGTTTGATCCTCATAACAATCCTGGGAGGTGGGTGCTGTTATCACCCCCATTTTACAGTTGAGGAAATCGAGGTAAACAGGGGATAAGTGATCTGTCCAGGGTCAGACAACTAGTTAGTGTTTGAGTCTGGATTTGAATTCAGGTTTTTCTGATTCCAGGCACAAAGTCAGCTGTTCAGGTCTCTCCTAGGAGGCCAGGGGGGAACTCTGGAACTGGACATGAAGAGTCCTGATGATAGTAGTAGATAAGGGGATTATCTTGAAAGGTGTGGAATAGGTTATAGAGAGGGGTTGGTGTTCTTATTCTTATTTAAAAAAAGAATGATAAAATTATTAGCTGCCTATTCAACAACCAGTCAAATAAATGTATTAAAAGAAAAGGAAACTCTTAGCCTTTTATCTTTTTAAAAATTTAAAAAAAATTTTTCAGCCCAAAACAAGGTTTGTTAGAACATGTGTCATATTTGGTAGACTCTTAAGAGTCTGAAAATTAGTAAGCTATTGGCTAGATTATTAGAATCTGACCAGTGGTTAGATTTTAGTAATCTGAGCAGTGGCTAGATTATAAGAATGAGAGCATCTTAGACTTTTTTTTTTTAAAGGAAATTGGGGTTAAGTAACTGCCCAGGGTCACACAGCTAGTAAGTGTTTGAGGTCAGATTTGAACTCTTGTCTCCAGGGCTGTCGCTCTGTGCAGTGCACCACCTAGGTGCCGAGAATCAGAGCATCTTAATGGACGCAAGATGGACCTTATATATAGAAAGCCTGTGAGAGGGATCTAGGAGTGGCCAAGTAGTTTAGGGTAATGGGAGGAGGGGCCTAAGGAGATCTGGATGGGAGTGGCCAGTAGGCTAGGGTGAACAGAACTCCTGGGACCTGGACAATTAAGAGTAGCTAGGATTAAGTGTGGGAAATGGCCAGGGGCCTATAGGGAGGTAAAGCAATGGAAAGGAGATTGGGTGTAGCCACAATGAAAGGCCAGTTGATGGGATTATAGCCTCAGGTGGATGCCAGAGATTTGGCCATGTGGGAAAGTCCAGGGTTTTTCCTTTCTGGGGCCCAGATCCCAACCCCATCATTCCCCCTAAAACAAATGGGACCTAAATTCTTTTGCAGTAAGAGGCAAAGGTCTCAGCTTCTGAAACTGCTTCCTGCTGGCATGGGGTGTAGAGCTGTCCCTGCCTCAAGGGGGTCCCAAAGAGGAGGTTGACTGGAACTGAACACAGGTTGCATCCAGGGAACGATGTGGTGACATTGGCTGATATGGCTGTTTGCTACCAACTGTAGGTGAATGGCCCATAGTCTGGAAGACATAAATCTGACAGAAAAAAACTGCAGGGCCCAGATATAAAGCAGGGACTAGATTTAGGGCCCAACTTTGACAGGATAAAACATCCTTAGTTCTATTTGGATTTAGATAATTCCGTTTTCCAACCATGCGGTATGAAATCCACCTCATAGCCAGACTCAGGAATAGCCAGGTGGGTAACATTCCCTTTCAAAGGAACATAATGGGGAAACTGAGGTAGGAGGATCCCATCTTAGACTGAGTCTAAAATTGTCCTCTCAGCTTTTCCCAATGCTGACTTCCCACCAGTATCACCTTATCTTGAGTAGCTTGTGGCATTTCTCTCAGATGGTGGATTATTGATTATAGACGGATTATGACCCATCAGACAACTCCAAATAAAATCCTATGAGCTTTTACCTCAAACAGCAAGTTTTACTAATACAGCTTAGGAAAAACTTTTCCAGGATTTACATCTCAAACTTAAATTTATCCTAATGTAAAAAGCCAATCATTAGAGATTTCTATACACTGGCAAATTCTCAGCAAACCATGCATAACCCAAACGAGCTTTTTGGCTAGTTTACGCATTAAAACAATAACCAACAATAGCCAAATTATTTTAGCGGTAGCCAAATTATGAAAAGTTGCTTGACGTAACTGATACAGAAAGTTCACCATTTTGAAACTTGAAACAAACCCATTACCAATCAGGTGACTTCAATTTAGTTAAGTGCATTTCCAAATTACTGTACACAGAGAATCAACATCTCATCATTAACAGTTAAAACTACAAATTTAAAAGAGCATGCTTACCCAAGTTCAGAGGCCAGCTTCTTTACCTTGAGCAGGATGTGCTGAACCTGGGTGATGCTTCCAGGCAAAGGTTGCCCCAGAGCCCAAGGCCGTTGCCAGTGGCGCCTATACTGTAGCTACTGCCCCTCCCCCCTTCTTCCTTTTCCCCAGGTGGGGGAGGGTGAAATCAAAGGTGAGGGGTAAAGGGTGAAACTCTCTTCTCCTATGAGAGGGGTTAATAGATACTCTCTTGACTCAAGGGAAGGGGGTGACCAGGTTGTACAGGTGTTTCAAAACTCCTTAATGATCAATCACAAAACCTCCAGAATATGCCAAGATATTTTTAGCT